GTCATAAATATCCACGTGCTGTATGTATGTCATAAATATCCACGTGCAGTCTGCTGAGTCCGTTGGGTATTGCTTTTCTGTGTGTGGTTTTCAGGGCTGAGCCCTGGCATTGGGCAGCCATTTGGGGGCTTCTCTCTGGGGAGACTAATTCTCCTTCTCAGCAGTTACTGCCTGTGTTTCCTCATCTAAGGATGAGAGACCTGGAGGGAGTCCCCTCATCCATGGCCTGCCAGCTTGTGTTGTCATTGTCAGGTCTTGTTTGGACAGCTGTATTTATAGTTGAGTACCATGGGTGTAGCTTCCTTGTCATGCCTAGACACAGTCTTCTGGTCCTCTGTCTCTTGCAGTCCTCCCCCCATCTTTCTCAGTGTTCCCCAAGCCTTAAGTATAGCCGCTGTGTTTAGATGCTTCGACGTGGGCCCCAGGCGAGCATTTCTCAGCCTGGGCTGGGTGCCATGGGTGAGCAGCTCTCTGCATTTTGGTCACTTGTGGTTTCCTGTAAGCGTCTCCATCTGCTGCAGAAGATGCTTTGTCAAGGGATTAGCTCTATACTTAAAGCGCTGTGCCATGCGGACAGGCTGAAGTGCCAGAGATCCGAGTCCCAAAGAGAAGGAAAGGGGCCAGGAGAAGACGAATACTTTTCAACTAACATGATCAGATTCTAAGATTAAGTTTGCTTCAGGAGATGGTGCTTTTTATTAGCTGAAGCTAGTTTCGTAGAAATTCAAATCCCACGAGTGATACTTGTTACTATAATAGTAAATATGTTTGTGTTTTTCCTTCTAGAGTCTCCCTGGGGAAAGACATGACTGTTTGCAATGATACATCCTGACAAGAAGTTGATACCAGAGAAGGAAAAGAAGTTGACAGCTAGTGAACAGAACCTAAACAACCAGGATTTTGTATTTGTTACTTCCAACTGTAGACTTCTGTTGCCACTTTTAAATTAGCAGGATTCCCAGAACTTGGACGAAGATCATTTCTTCTGGTTTTTTGTTTGTTTTCTCTCTTTTTTTTCTTTTTCTTTTTTTAAAATTTGATCGTGAGAAAGCTGCAATGTCTAGGAAACAAAGCCAGAAAGGTAAGATCACATACGTACATAATTTGTAGATAACTGTTGCCTAAGTCTGGGGATGTGTGTAGCTTAGTGGTGGACGCTTGCCTTGTGTGCATTGGGCCCTGGGTTTTAGTCTCGAGCTTTGTGTAAACAAGCAAGCCCAGAGCATAGAGACAGGGACTAAAGCTCAGGCTTGCGGACCCGCGTGAGGTGTGGATTTGATCAGAGCATAGCTATGAAGCGCTGATCCTCAGATAGGTCTGTGGTTTGAAACTATTCGCTTAGTAACATGTCCTGAACGACAGTGCAAGTATTATATCAGGTGTTAGTTCTGCATATAAGTTGAAAATTGATCCCCTTATTAGAAATTGCTTTCCTACTCAAGACAGATCTGTCCAGTTGTAATCAGTTTGTTAGAGGGCGAGATGTGACTTGCTGCTGTTTTTGTACAGTGGCTATACCTTAGTGAGGTGTGATGGGAGATGCTTCCTGTCTTGTGTTTCCTATTCCCAGGGGAAGGAAATGGCGTGAGAGGGAGAGCTTCCAGGCTTCTTTCTTCCTTAGCTTTCCTTCCAGGTTTGCCATCCTGGTAAAATGGAAGACACAGGCAGGAAGTATGATGACAGGTTACGCTGAGGGAAGCAAAACAGGCTGTACTTCTCCAGTGTGGAGAGCTGCCACACAGGGCTGCTGTGCGCTCATTTCAGGAGTGGCCGGAGGTGTCTTGACTTTCTTTTCTTGTTCATTTTAATTTTCAGTGTAATGTTCTTTAATTCGAAACAACTCCATGGATTGAGGTCTTCACATATTAAATATGCTTTTAATTTCGATTTGACAGTTCAAAACTTCATAAGAAAACAGTGTGCAGAGCTGCTCATAGTTTGGGAATCTGTATTTCCCTCATATGACAGATTTTCATAAGAAAACACAGGCTGTAAGGAATGGTTAGATCACTAAACACGTTCAAGTGGAATGACGTATAAACTGGAAAAGATTCTATAATTTTTCCTTTTAGTCAACAACATGATTGATCTCCCTGCAGTTACGCTTGAAGAGTCAAGCTTGAGTTTCCTCCTGCAAATGAGAGCCGCAGTAAGGGAAGGGAATGCAGCACTTGGGAGTCAGTGGTTCGATGTGACAAGAGGAGCCTTCTTATTTATTTGTGTGTGAGCACGCGTGCTTGCTTGTTTGTGCGGTGTGTGTGCGCGCGCGCGTGTATAGGCGTCCATGGAGGCCAGAAGCCTGTCAGACTGGGTGCCGGGAACCAAACCTGCTCTGTAAGAGCAGCCAGGGGAGACTTTTACAAAATTATCTCTTTCATATTTCAGATTATAATATAATTATGTTACTTCCCCCTCCCTTTCCCCTCCTTGTTCTCTTTCAAACCGATGGCCTCTTTTTCAGTATAAGGTGCTTTAGGAAGGCTACCGGAGCGACTGCAGTGCTGTTATTCAGAGCTAGAGATCATACCAAGTGGCATTTTGTCATCTAAATTTACCATCTCTGATTTGTTCCCTTTCCAAGCATGTAAGGACACACAAGCACACACACACACACACACACACACACACACACACACGAGACTAAGGACAACAACCCTCAGGTTTGTTCCTCCTTAGGCCCTGTCCCTGTGGTTTTTGAAACAAGGCCTCTCTGTAGCCTGGGGCTTGCCAATTAAACTAGGCTGGCCAGCCAGCAAGCTTGCAGTAGTCAGCCCGCCTCTCAGTCCCCAGCACATGCCACCAAGCCCAGCTTTGGTTTTGGACATTAAACCAGGGCCTCATCCCTGTACAGCAAGTGCGTTAAGTATGGAGTGAGCGATCTCCTCAACCCATATTTTCTTTATTTTTCTAAATGTCCTTTTTTCCCTTAATACAATAGTCCTTTTCTTCATTATTAAGTACTATTAGTAGAATAAAAGATTGTCACTCTGATGCTAAAATTGATAGTAACAGTTCTGTAATAGCTGGCTAGCTTGCTTGCTTTCCCTCCCTCCTTCCCCTCCTCTCTTTCTTTCTTTCTCTTCTTCTTTCTCTTGTGAAGCTTTCTCTGTGTCACCCTGGTCTGCCTCTGCCTCACCAGTGGACTAAAGCTGCGTGCTGCCCCACTTGGTGCCAGCAGCTTTCTCCCTCGCACTCATATTTCCAGTGGAGCCCAAGCCCCTGCAGGTTCTGATGGTTCATGTGAGGAAGCGGCTCCATTTATAATTCTAGAACAGCTCTCCAAGCTGGTATGGAAATGGCAGGTCTAAGACTTGTTGATAAGGAAACAGCTAAGATACAGCCTTACTTGACACCGTATTTATTTCTGACAACTTGCTTGGCCCACCTTTTCTGAGCTACCATGTAGGTCACCTCTCTGCTTTGCTCTTCATCCATACATAGTTGTTCCCTCCTCCCTTCCCTTCCTTTTCGCCTTCTACCTGAGCCTCCTTCCTTTCCTCCTTTCCTTCCTTTCTTCGTTCCTGTCCTTCCTCCCTCTCTCCTTACCTCCCTTCTTCTCTCCTTTTTTCTTTTCTTCCTTTCATCTATCTTGTAATCCAGTGCTAGGGAGACAGAGACAGATGGGTTTCTGGTACTCACTTGCCTGCCAGCCTTGTCTAGGTACACGCCTCGGGCCAGAGAGAGACAGACGCTGAGAAGTGGTTACTGTGACTGTCAGTGCTGTGGATGTCCAGTTCATACAGTAACCACTTCTACAAGAGACAGACGCTGAGAAGTGGTTACTGTGACTGTCAGTGCTGCAATGTCCAGTTCATACAGTAACCACTTCTACAAGAGTTCACATTTGGTCAGACGTTTCTTTTCAGTTTACTTTTTAAGGAAGTTTTATGTTTGCTCACTTACTTTGTATGTGCATGTATCTGTGTAGGGACATGCTTGGCTTTGTGTGGAGCTCAGAGGAAAACTTGGAGGAGTCCATTTTCTCCTTCCACCATTTGAGTCCCAGGGATCCAACTCAGACCGTCGGGCTTGGCGGTGAGGCCTTCGCCTGCTGATCCATTGTGTGGGCTCTTGAGTTTACTTTTTAATTCTCTAGGTACCCCTGACTGTCCTGGAACTCTCTCTGTAGAGCAGGCTGGCCTCAAACTCACAGAGATCACCTGCCTCTTCCTCCTAAGTGCAGGGATTAAAGGAGTGCACCACCATGCCTGGCTTACTTTTTAATTTTGAAAAGAGAGTTGGATAAAAGAAGAGAGATGGCTAAGGGTAGTGTGATAGTGACACTTCCAGGTTATCTGGGCTTCCAGACTTCCTCATCTCCAACTTTACCTGCATTTACCTGCATTTAATTGGGTATTACCTTTTCTTGCATATTGTTCCTGATCTTGCTTTCTGTCTGTGTAAGGAATATCTATGAGTTATAGCAAGAATGCACAGGAAGCTGATGGGCACAGCACTGTTGGAGTAATGGAGCTCGGCGAAGTAGTGTCAGGTGAACCACAGCCAGTACACCGTACAACTCGGAACGCTGACTCCCTGGCTGCTGCACCAGGACTCAGTGTGTTACTTTAGGCAGGGATAGTACTGTAACTGGTTTTCTCATTCTATTTCATCAATGAAAAATTGAACAAGCCCCAGGCTGGGAGTATTACTCAGTGGTAGAGCTTTTGCCTTGCACGCAGGAAGCCTTGGGTTTGATGCCCAGTACTGCAAACAATGAGGAGGAATTCTCAGATTATAATCCCATTTTTCACCTCACTTTGTCAGAGGAATACTTTGTCGTCATTTATACAGTGGGAAATGGTGTAATCAGTCTAAATAAAAGATTCAAATTTAGCAGCTCCCTGAGAATCTCTAGACACATTCCACACTTGAGTCGAGTCTTTTTTTTTTTAAGATTTATTTATTTATTTTATTTATGAGTACACTGTCGATGTCTTCAGACACACCAGAATAGGGCATTCAATCTCATTACGGATGGTTGTGAGCCACCATGTGGTTGCTGGGATTTGAGCTCAGGACCTCTGGAAGAGGAGTCAGTGCTCTTAACCACTGAGCCATCTCTCCAGGCCCCGAGTCGAATCTTCTTTACACTTAAGTTTGCTATAAGCAGTCTAGAGTGGAGGTTGGGCAGGTCTTCTGATGAAGAGAAAAAATCTGTTAATAAAAGTCCCTTCAGCACTTCACAGCGCCTTTGTGTATTCATGCTACCTTTGGACTTCTCAGGGCAGGCTCCAAGCCTGTGGTGGGTTTCTCTATTCCAGAAGTGGTGTTCTGGGAGTCTATTGCATGGATGATGATGATGATGATGATTTACTTACCTACTTTGAGACAGGGTCTCCCTTTGTAACCCTGGCTGGACTGGGACTTACTGTATGGACCTTGAACTCACAGATCCGCCTGCCTCTGCCTCCTGACTGCTGGGATTAAAGATGTGCGCCACCTTGCCTAGGCAGTGCGTGTTTTCAATTGTGCAGTGTAATAAGCTCATAACTAGTTGCTTACATATTAAGATGGTATATATTTTATTGATCTGGTTTCAGTTCTTTTGTGTTTATACCCAGCAGTGGGGTTACCGAATCATACAGTAGTTGTGTTTAACCTTTGATGGAGCCACCGTTTGGTTTACAGGAGACACTGTCCCTCATGTCACAGGCGCCATGCACCAAACTTACAGTCACCCCAGCTCTGGGCCGGGTTTGTTTTCTGGGGTTTCTTTTGCCGTTATGTCATCATTAGGCCTAAAACAACTTTACCTGATTCCTTTCCTTTCCTCCTCTCTCCTCCCCTCCTCACTTCTCCTCTTCCTTTTCTTTCTTTCCCCTTCTTCTTTCTCTTCTTCTTCTCTTCTCCCCTCCCCTCCTCTTCCCTCTCTTCCTGCCTCAGCCTTCCAGGTGCTGAGGTTATAAGCCAGACACCATTTCCTGACCCTCTGTCTGCTTTATGAAGCTCACAAAACAAGAATTAAAACTTAGTGTTTATATGTGGAGTGGGCGGGTGGAGAGGTGGTGCACACCTTTAGTTCCGGCACTTGGAAGGCAGAAGCAGTCGGATCTTTGAGTTAGAGGCCAGCCTGGTCTACAGTGAGTTCCAGGACAGCCAGGGCTTCACAGAGAAACACTGTATCAAAAAAAACAACCCCCCCCAAAAAAAAATTTGGTGTTTATAAAGATGTCAGTAGAAATTTAAGTGACATACTGTTTTCTGACGGTCTTAAACAGGTATTAATTGAAGTAACTAAGAATTTTAAGCTGATTCCTAATAGTCTTAAATGAGTGAAAATAAGAAAGTGCTTTAAGACATGGGTAGCTTTTACCAAAGAGGGTGGGGTTGAAGTTAGAAATTCTTCATCTTGTTTGAATCTTGCCTAAGAATAATTTAGCACATATCTTCTGAAGAACTGCAGGTAGATCATAATTCAAGGCAGTGTACCATATAGACCATGACATGTTTCAAGGCACAGGCCAAGAAGATTTTGTACTTTTCCACCACCTGGACCCTCTTACCCCCTCCCCTTGTAAAACATGCTATAAAAAAAAAGCATTTCATGTTCAAAAAAAAAAAAAAGAAATTAAAAAAAATTTTTTTGAAAAAAAAAGAAGAATAATTTAGCACAATTTCATTCTTTAAAAATGTATCTCTGAAGTCTTATGACTGGTCAGAGTACCGAGTATAAGTGACTGTTGAGTGTTCAGCAGTAAAGGGGATATTTATATCACTTCCTCCAAAGCCCAAGGCATAAGGACAGAAGTAGTATGGACTTCTGGGCACAGCCTGCCTGCTACACTTTTGACCTCATGACAGCTGTGATCACTTTTACAAAATGTACCCAGGATTGAGCCTGCTGTGCTGTCATGGAAGACGGAGGGGCTCATGGACCCTCATCCCTCCCTGAGGATGTGTAGTTAATAGTTGATGAGAAAGGAAGATGCTTTCTTTAGTGGTGTAGTCACAAAAGGGGTAGTGGCCGGAGAGACGGCTCAGGGTTAAGAGCAGGGATGGTTCTTGATCATTAGGTGGGAGGTAGCTCAGTAAAGTGCTTGCAGTGCACACATGAGGACTGGAGTCCATCTTGAGCTCAGGCCCACACTGTAAAACCCAGCACTTGAGAGGTAGGGGCAGGGGCTATGCCTTAACCATAAGCATGCTCTTACCACAGCTAAAAAGAAAACGAATTCCAACTTAACTTTTGTGTGGGGGTGCAGATGGCTGTGTGTTGACATGGTTGTGGACCCAGAGTCCAGGCTTGGGTATCGTTCCTCAGGAGCCATCCACTTTGGTTATTGAGACAGGATCTTTCATTGGCCTGGAGCTCACTGACTAGGCTAAGCTGGTGACCAGCAAGCTCCAGGGATCTGCCTGTCTCTGCCTCCCCCAGACTGGGATTACAAACACAGACATGTCTGGCTTTTTGAAAATGAGTTCTGGGATTGGAGAGCTGGCTCAGTGGTTAACAGGGTTGGCTGCTTATTCAGAGGACCCAGGTTCAGTTGCCAGCACCACACGGCAGCTCATAACCATTCATAACTCTAGTTGCAGGGGATCCAACATACTTTTCTGGCTTCCACAAGCATTGAGCTATCTCCCTAGTCTCCTAACTCTTTAGGCCTTGGGAGGTATTTGGAATTAAGGTAGAATTTAAGCTCTAGCTCTAAATGAAACTTTAACTGAAATACATACGTTTGTAATAATAGCAAAAGAATTTGGAATATACTATCACATTTCAATGTTTTTTATACTCCCTTTGTCAGAATTTCCCGTATCACTTGCTTAGCTGAGATTTTAATTTGCAAACTACTCCCAAGTGAATTTTAGCAATCAGTAATGCTGAAACCATCTGGGAGGGATCTTAGGCCTTAGTCTAGACCGTTGAGGCACAGCGTACATTTTGGCATAAGAGTCCGCAGAAGGTAACCATGCACATCAGAATTTGAGAAGCACTTTAACCTTTCTGGGATTGCCTCGCATAGAATTGAAGCATTCAGTGCTGAGGCATTGGTGCAGCAATTGATGTAATTCAGTGCCAGAGCTCTTGCCTACCTGATGTAAGTCAGTAGCCAGCATCTTACACATACACACACACACACACACACACACACACACTCGCACGCGCACTGTGGTGATTTACTGATTATATACTCACAGTTGAGTAAAAAACTTGAAAAAAAAGGAATAACTCATTGGAGGTTTGGTTTTGTTTACCTTGCTGATTGAGTTTCATTTACTGAATACAAACTTGGACATAGTACTGGTAATACAAACTTGGACATAGTACTGGTAATACAAACTTGGATATAGTGTTGGTAACACAAACTTGGATATGGTGTTGGTAACACAAACTTGGGTATAGTGTTGGTAACACAAACTTGAGTATAGTATTGGTAACACAAACTTGGATACATTGCTTCATCACACCTGCAATCTGGGAGCATCAGTCAGTGAATTCATGAAATTCAGAGTCTTAAGAGTACGTATGTGGCAGGCAGTCTAGGAGACAAATTACTTGCATTTGTTGTGAATTGATTGTTATTAGAGATGCCCCACATCTCTCAGAACCTCACAGGCTTATCACATTTTGGGGGGCTTACAACTTAAGGTAGGATAACTAAGAAAGAGATGAAGGATTATAGAATACTCTTTTTTTTTTTTAAATATTTATTTATTTATTTTATTTATGAGTACACTGTCGCTGTCTTCAGACACACCAGAAGAGGGCATCAAATCTCATTACGGATGGTTGTGAGCCACCATGTGGTTGCTTGGATTTGAACTCAGGACCTCTGGAAGAGCAGTCAGTGCTCTTAACCGCTGAGCCATCTCTCCAGCCCTAGAATACTCTTAATATGCTTGGCATAGTGCTACTTTCCTCAAAATATACTTTAAAATATAAACAGTTGAAAGCACTTGCTGCTCTTGCAAAGGACCTAAGTTGGTTCCAGTACCTACATGGTGGTTGGCGACCATCCAAGACTCCAGTTCTAGGGCATTCACTGTTCTTCTGTCCATTGCAGGATCAAGGCACACAAGGTGCAAATACATACATGCAGGCAAGCACTTATACACATAAAAATACTTTTTTTTGGAGACAAGGTCTCACTGTATAGCTCTGGCTATCCTGGAACTCACCATGTAGAGCAGGATGACCTTGAGCTCACAGAGATCCACCTGCCTCTGCTTCCTGAGTGCTGAGACTAAAGGTGTGTGTCACCATACCTGATGAAAATAAATAAAAATTTTTTAAAAAATTTTATTTTATGACTAACTCAAAATATGGTTATATATGAGCTATCTATGTAGTAGAAACTTCCAAGTAGTTTCTAAATCGTTAGTAATTATATGAGGAAAATAGTCATGGATTAATAGAATGTATAGGTTATATCAGGGTTGAATATGTTTTCCTTTTATATTCTTTCAGATTCATCAGGATTCATTTTTGATTTGCAGTCCAATACTGTACTGGCCCAGGGAGGAACCTTTGAGAACATGAAGGAGAAGGTAAGGTAATACTATGGATGTGTGAATATTATAGGAAAATTGATTAATATAAGTAGTGACTATCACAAATGCATTCTAAAAATGAAATTTGCTGGGCATAGTGGCATGCACCTTTCTTTTCAGTATTCGGAGGCCGAGGCTGATGGATCTCTGAAACCAGCGATCCGTTCTACATATCAAGTTCCAGGCCAACCAGGCCATCACTGTGAGACCTGACTAGAAAGAAAAGGGAGGGGCTCGGGGAGAAGGAAATGGAATCCTAGGAACAAATGAGAATGCCACTGTATAGTCAAGATGACTACCACCGTGTCTCTGAGGGAGCAGTTTATCAAAACGTGCAGGAATGCTTTTCTGGTTTTTTTCCTTTTTTTTTTTTTTTTTTTTTTTTGTTTTTTTGAGACAGGGTTTCTCTGTGTAGCCCTGGCTGTCCTGGAACTCACTCTGTAGACCAGGCTGGCCTCGAACTCAGAAATCCACCTGCCTCTACCTCCCAAGTGCTGGGATTAAAGGCGTGGGCCACCACCGCCCAGCAGGAATGCTTTTCTTTGGATATGTCCATATATGCTTATTCTAAATTCTTTAAGACATTCGGTATTAATGCTATTACTAATATTTATATGACTGAGAATGCATCTCTTCTTTGTCTCTTTATTTTTTGTTTTATTTATCTCTGTGTAGTCCTGGCTGCCCTGGAACTTTCTGTGTAGAGCAGGCTGGCTCCCAACTTATAGAAATACAGACTGCATCTGCCTCCTGAGTGCTGGAACTGAAGGCATGTGCCACCATACCTACCTGACTCAGACCAAAATTTTAATGTTTTTTAATTAGCAGATACTAGTTATATATGATAATGGACTTAGCTATAAAGGTTAAGAGAATAATTCATGTCTAAAATTCTATAACAATGTTGTATTTGAATTGAAGATGTCAGTGTGCGAGCTCATGATGTAACAGGATAATTGTAAGCTGCAGCCACTGAAAGGAAAAGGAACCATAACTTCCGGTGGCAGTAAGTTCACCACTGAAAGGACAAGGAGCCGTGACTTCCGGTGACAGTAAGCTCACGTAGCTCCTGGATCTTCAGTTCTACCATTTTCTCCCAAAACCACTCTCAGCACTTCCTTAAGATATAATTAATTCTACATTGCACAGTAAGACAAATACAATTGAAAAGGAAGAAAATACAATTATCTACACAGACAAATCCATGAAAACAACAAATGATTAGGACAAACAAGAGTATTAAAAAAAACCAAAGCTCACTGAAATTGCTAGCCATAGAACAGATACATAATAATAAAATATTTGGGGCTGGAGAGAGAGCTCAGTCCTTTACCTTTTATGTATTTATTTTATGTATATGAGTGTTTTCCTGCGTGGACACGTGTGTGTGCCTGACACAAGTCAAGTCAGAAGAGAACATCATATAAACAGAAAGCTGGGTGTCGCAGTGTATGCTTGTAATCCTAGCGCTGGCGTCCGCATACGTGACCCCTGGATTTGCCAGCCAGCCAGCCAGCCCAGGGCAGTCAGAAAGCCTGTCTCAAAACTATGATGGACACCTGAGATTATCCTCTGGCCTCCACACACGTGTCTTCTCATGTACCTGCATACACATGTACATGTGAATATTCAGTTGTTATAAACTACGTGCATTTATTTATTTCATGTGGATGGGTGTTTGCGTGCATGCATGTATGTCTGTGTCGCATGTGCTTGCAGTGTCCGCAGAGGCCGGATCCCTTGGAACTAGAGTTACAGGCCAACGTTAGCCTGTGGGCCCGGCCATGTGGGCGCTGGGTTCTCTGGAAGAGCAACCAGTGCTCTTAACCACTAAGCCATCTCTCCAACCCCTGTAAACTATATATTTTTTTCATTTCAAAAAATATAATGTCTAACAACATTGCGTATCTGCCAGGCGTGATGGCACATGCCTTTAGTCACAGCACTCAGGAGGCAGAGGCAGGGAACATCTGTGAGTTTGAGGAGCAAGTTTTAGGCCAGCCAGGGCTATATAGTGAGACGCAAACAAACATAAGGCAGTTGGGCATGCCCGTTTCACAGTGGCATGGGATCATCAGCGAGCACTCATGTAGGCTCTGTGCTGTTCTGAATTCTGGTAGTTCCACAGATGACCTGATTTCACGTTGATCTAGGCACTAAGGATTCAGCAATAGGCAAGCAAACTAGTGGTCGAGAATTGGCGCTCCAAGCCAGTGCTGGCTTTGCATGAACGGGACCCTGGGTTTTACCTCTAGCACTGCAAAACAAAAATGTCTAATTATCTACCAAGAGGAGAGTGGGTTAGTGTATTGTACAACAGGAGCGCCATGTACAGTGTGTGTTAACTATATGAGTAACATGTACAGTGTATGTTAAAACATGAGGAGCAGATGTATGTTAACTATGTGGATGACATGTATAGTGTATGTTAAACTATATGAGGAACAGATGCATGTTAGCTATAGGAATCACGTGCAAACCAACGTGAAGAAATGCTCTGTGACAACATTGAATGTTAGCATGCGTGATGAATAGTAATGTTTATATAATATAAAATATATATTGCCTGTGGAGATACACATACATCATGAAAATGCAAATATATTGAAATTAAATCAAATTCTGAGGAGAGGTTTCTGGAGAGAGAAATGGGGTTTAAATAGACGTTCGTTGGGCTTCGTTTGAGTTGTTTTATCAAGCTGGGCTCTCACTAGTTGTCCATTATGTCCTGTGCACCTAAAATAGCTTATAATGATTCAGATGCTGTCTATGAGTTATCTCAGAGTTTTCACACAACTGAATGACAGAGAAAGACAGATTTGAACAGTGCTGTGTAGGAATCTCAGCTGCTGGGCTGGAGGAAGAGCTCAGTAGGTAAGGGCGGTTGTTGTGTGCATGAGGACTTGACCTCACATCCACAGAACCTACAGACAGACAGACCTGATATTCCTGTGACCCCAGCAGTGTGTGACAGGCAGAGACAGGAGATCATTGCAGCCTGAGGAAACTTACCGAGCAGAACAGTGTCCTCTGGCCGCTAGTGCATGAGTGCTTACCTACATACGGGCATTCATAAGTACCACACTTGCATAGTCATATTACGACAGACATTTAAAAATCTGAGCTGTTAGGGTTAATGGTTCATTACATTTCTGCTTTCCCTATAGTGTAATGACGACCCACTGATGCTAACTTAATAACTGGTACCTAAATTAAGCCTGTCTCTGTCTGTCTGTCTGTCTGTCTGTCTGTCTCTCTCTCTCTCGACTAGTTTTCTATGTAGCACTGGCTGTTCTGGAACTCTCTCTCTGTAGACCAGGCTGGCCTCAAACTCACAGAGATCCTTCTGCCTCTGCCTCCCAAGTGCTGGGATTAAAGTACTGGGCTACAGTACCCAACACTTTCAAAATTTAAAAATATAAAAATAAAAATTATTATTTGTGTGTGAGAGAGACAGACAGACACACACACACAGAGGGCAGGGGGAGAGGAAAGAAAGAGGGAGAGAGAACACAGATATGTACCAGGTAGCTTGTCTGGAGGTCAGAAGGCAACTTGGAGAGTCAGTTTCTCGTTCACCATGGACTCTGGAGATTGACCTCAGGTTCCCACACTATTGTGAATGCTTTTATTCACTGATCGTTTCTCAATTGGTCCCTTTTATTCCTATAAATGCTCTGTGTTTTAAATTTCAAAATTAAGTTTTCATGTGGTGTTACTATTTTTATGCTTACTGTTCTTGGCGTGACGGTTGCGTGTTCTTCCTGACGTGAAGCAGTAACTTTATTGCTGAACTGCACTGGCACCATTATTCTCCCTGATGCACTCTGCTGCCCAGTGACCTGCGTGTGCCCTCTCTTGCAGATCAACGCCGTGCGTGCGATCGTTCCCAATAAGAGCAACAATGAGATCATCCTGGTTCTGCAGCACTTTGACAACTGTGTGGACAAAACAGTGCAAGCATTCATGGAAGGTAACGCTGGCTCAAGTGTAGACTTTGCAACCTGTCTCACGACAGCGCTTCATACTGTGATCTTTTGTTAACGTAGGTGCCCCTTTCATTCCCAAGCTGTGGAAAAACTGGAGGAGACCAGCTAAGAAACCTCCTGTAGTGTTAGATATGTTCTCCTCCTCCCCACAGAGAGGCTGCTGCTGGCGGGCTGTGGGGTTGGACAGCATTGGATAAGTAATTTAAGAGACACTGCAGAGGAGCCGGCGGCGGCCCAGGAGCACACGAGCAATCCAAGACCCAGCACTGACTTCTAAACTCCACTGTGGTTTAGTTTGGTTCTGACAGCGACTCAGATGTATGAGTTCAGTTTCCTTATGTTTCTGTATGTTAGAGAAAAATGACAGCCGTATCCAACTCCGTAGATTTATAGAGTTAATAAATGTTTGTTAAAATCCTTTCCATATAACTTGTTTGAAAAAATTTTACTTGAAACTGCTTCGCCTTTGAACAGAGTGGTCAGGACTCCTGGATGCATTTTCCTGAATTTGCGAGTATAGAGTGAGCAGGTTCAAATGCTGTACTTTTTTTTTCTGTAGTCATGTTTTCTTCATAATTTTAGGGTTTGAGTCTAGTGTAGGTGCAGCTTTTCCCAGATACCACAGTCAGGATGGTATACTTGGGTAAAGACAGTCACCTTTATATTCAGACCAAGATTATGGATAAAGAGTCGTGAATGCCCGAAGGAGTTGTCAGTAGACTCTACAGCAGAAGCATTGACTGCCTCAGCCCAGCGTGTAGCAGTGATGCAACGCTCTGATTCCTTCTTGACCTTGTGTGGCAGAAGAGCAAATCTCCGTTTGATTTATTTTTCAGGTAGTGCCAGTGAAGTACTCAAAGAATGGATTGTAACTGGCAAAAAAAAGGTAAGGTTGAATTACATGTAAGAACGTGATATTTATATTGCTTTTAATTAGACTCTAGGCAAGATGGCCTAACAGGTAAGGTTAGCATACTGCTCTTCCAGAGGACCTGGGTGCAGTCCCCAGCACCCACATGTAAGCTTGCCATCTGCACATCCAGTTCCAAGGATGTAGACCTCTTTCACCTGCAGACATTAGGTGTATGCGTGGTGCACAGACATACGTGAGGGCAGGGCACTCCACTTGCTTTCTAAAAAGAAGAAGGGCTTTAAAGAATGTTTTCTAATACTAAAGAGCGTGTCCGGAGGTTCCAGCAGAGGAGCATAGGGACACACAGCAGTGAGGGCGGCGTGGGCCCTGCCTAGCCAGTCATGTCAGCCAACCTGCCCTGTTGATGAGTGGGGTGTCGTGCCACAGCCCTCTCGCCCGTACCTCCTAAATGTTTGAAAGAGAATGTTACATATGTCTTCTGTTTTCCATCTCAAAAATGCCAGTTTTGATGTTGAGGTTTCACAGAGTATTAGACAATGGGCTAGCTTCCTGTGCTTGAAGTCAGAACAGTTACGTTGCTGGTGCAGTCGCCGCAGTGCTCTACACAAGAGTAGACACAAATGAGCATGGCGGAGAAAGCAGCTTCTCCAGACTGGTATTCAGCAGGATTTGTTTCCTAGATTAGCTAAAACAGTTTAGATTTGCAGACCAGGTAGCCTTGGTATAGATAGTCTCTACCACTGGTGACTGCTCATTTAAAGCCAAAGGGCAGTGTTTCCTTCTTTAAAAATGTGTCTGTCTCTGTCTCTATTTACTGTATGTCTGCATGTGCACAGCTCACAGTGAGGACAGCTTTGTGGATTTGCCCTCTCTTTTCACCTGGATGTGCTTTCTGGGTGCCAGGCTTGACTGACACCTTTGCGTGCTGCCCATCTTCCTGGCCCAGCTTTTGCTCTTCCAGGCTGTGTGCCTTCCAGAGACAGCTGCTACATGTTAAAGAGCAGAAGGTGCGCGGGCTTCCGAGTCGGTCAGAGCTGGTCTTCTGTTCTGCTTTGTCTGGTCTTGTGAGCTGTGGTTGTTGTTTAACCTTAGTTTGCTCCTCTATAAAGTAGAAAGATACATACATGGTGGTCTGTACCTGTGATCCTAGCACTCAGAAAGGGGGCATAGGAGGGTCAGAGTTCAAGGCCATCGTGGGCTACATAGCACAACCCTGTCTGGGGGAAAAAAGACAACAAAAGTAAAATGATATTAATACGTATGCATTCTCGTTACAATGCCTAAATATTAGTTCTTAATCCCTCACCTGTATCCTCTGAAATCCAAACGCTTCCCTCCCAGGATCTAGCTGGGTTCAGAATTCTTCCCACAGCTCTACCCCAGATGTAGTTCCTTTAAGGAATGCTCAGGGATGGGCTTTTAGCTAAGAACTGACTCCGTTAGGAGTGTCCTTCCTGCACTAGGTGGTGTTGTGTTCTGAAGTGCTTCCCTCTAAATGTAACTATTGTGTTTGTGTTGTGTGTGTGTGTTAGTGTGGGGCGTATGTGCTGTGGTGCTGATGACAGCTTTTGGGAGTTGGTTCTCTCCTTCCACATGGATTCCAGGGATTGAGTTCAGGTTGTCAAGCTCGTGTGGCAAGGACTTTTAACCATGAGAGGTCTTGCCAGCCCTGAAATGCTTTCTTGACCAAGCCAGGCTTGGCATCATCATCACCACCGTCACCATCATCCCCATCATCATCAGGTTTTCAGGACAGGTTTCTCTGTGTAGTCCTGGGCCGTCCTGGCATGGGTTTGGCTTTTTTAACCTTGGAGAATTTTCTCCCAGAGGCATGCAGCACTGTTCAGGCTCTCCTGACTCTTTCTAAACTTTGCTGCACACAGCAAACATGGCTTTGAGTAGTCAAGAAAACACCAATGTTGTAATTTATTGACCTCAGAATATAAATTATTAACAGCACATGATATGCATATAGTTGAAAACTATGTATGAGAGACAATATACAAATTTCTTAAAATCTGGAGAAAGAAAACTGGCTTTTGTTTGGTTCTCTGCAGTGTGAAATCCTGTCACAGCTAACCATAGGGATTGGCTCAGTAGGAAGGGATGGTGGGCGAGAATTGCATGTGTGGGCTGATAATGAGAAGACCTGTTCACACGGGAGGAAGCAGGAGGAAGAGGGGAAAGTTGCATGCCAAGTTGATTCGTCATCCTGCTGGACAGGGCCAGCCAAGGCCTGGCATGAGCGTGGATCGGCTTTATCCTTCCAGCTTTAGAGTTAAGGTTTGCTAGTGTAGCTGTCTGTTGTTAAAACAAAGGCAAAGACTTTTTTTCCCCTTTGTATTCACATGGTTCAGATTTCGAAGGTATAAATGGCAATACCCCGAAACAGCTTTGTCCCGTGTCTTCTCTCCAGCCATTGGTGCCCCATTTGTTCCCCAGATTTTTATTTCCTAATTCATCCTTTTGTTTGTTTGCTTGCTTGCTTGTTTCGGCATTGGAGGTTAAATGCAGGGCCTGGTGCGTGCCAGGCAGGCACTCCACACTGAACTCAGCCCCAGGCTCTTGGGAATTTCTCTTGCAGCTCCTAAGACACTTCAGTCACATTAAACGGTTAGGCATACATACTCTTCTCTGCACATTCCCTGAAACAGATCCTGGAATGTAGAAGTCCCCTACTGATCTACATTTGCATGGCTTCTAGTCTTTATTAATATTAATATAACGGTGCTGCCATGAATAATCTTGTATACATTTGTCATTCCTGGCTAGGATAAATTGCTAGTATTAGACTTGCTGTTGAAAGCTTTGTGCATTTGTAACTTTCAAAAGCATTACTAGATTTTCACTCGTACATAGTGTTTATGAAAATGCCTGGTGATTTCCAGAGCAGTCAAAGCTGTCTGTCAAGTGGAGCCAGTGACCTGTGTATTTAAACCCTGACCTTTGCTAATCTGCTCAGTGAAAAGCCGTACTGCAGTGCAGGGTTTCATTATTTGTCGATTATTGGACTGAGGCTACGCCTCATTCAGTTATTTATAGATTATATTCTTTCATTTGGGTTATTGTGGTTATTTAGCATTCTGTTTATATTTCACTTTAAAATATAGTTACTTTTTTCACATTTTATAACTTCATTTTAAGATAGGTTTTGCAATGAAAAATATTTTATGTTGATCTTGAGTTCATGCAAAATACAGTTTTGCACAGAAAGTGTTATTTTTGTCAGTAGTTAGATATAAACAAAATTATCTTCAGTTTCCAGAAGAATGTGTGCAGAATTGGTAACACTGACTTGTTTTGGTAGCTGGCATTGATTACCTCTATGAGTTGTGTTGGAGGGCCTGCTTTTTCTTTTCTCTTTTCAAATCTTTGATAACCTTAGAACAAAAAGAAGAAAAGCAAGCCAAAACCTGCATCAGAAGCAAGTAGCAGTGCCCCAGACTCCAGTAAGTCGGCACCCGTTCAAGAGGAGCAGCCTGCATCTTCAGAGAAAGGCAGCATCAATGGTTACCATGTAAACGGTGCCATCAATGATGCCGAGTCTGTGGACTCACTCAGTGAAGGTCTGGAGACGCTTTCAATAGATGCCCGAGAACTGGAGGATCCTGAGTTTGCCGCAGCAGATACACTGGACAGAACTGGTGAGTCTGTGAACACAGTTTGGGAAGTTAATTCACTCAAAAAGTACTGGGGATCTCTGCCTGAGACACTTATCACTACATTAAGTATAGCTGGTCTTTTACTTTATAGCTTTTGTTGCCTACTTAATGGAAGAGTTCATTTTGAAACTTTTTTTTCCTAAAATACACGTCTGACATTGAGTAACAGAGGGATGCTTTAGTATTTAGAAATGAGAGAGTGACTTTTAAAATATGATCTTTTAAAATATGATAGGATTACTATAGAAACAGCCGTGGAGGGATGATGGTGTCGCTCTCAGGAACACGAGAGGGACATTAGTCACAGACACCAGTAGTGTGGCAGAGCACAGTGGGGCCGAGTTAGCTGAGCCGTCTTCAGTTCTGAAAGAAAGTAGGCAGGGATATTTTAGGAATATGTAATATTAACTATAATCATCACTTTATTGACAACTAGATTTTTGTGGGTCTTTTTAGAGATTATTTTTATAGTCCTATATTGTTTTGTTGTTTTTTTCTTTTTTTATTGATTTATTTTCTGTGTCTGAGTGTTTTGCCTGCACGTATGTTTGTGTACCACATGAGTGCCTAGTGCCCGTAGAGGCAAGAGGAGGGTGTCAGGTCCCCTGGACTGGAATTACAGATGGTCGTGAGCAGCCATCTAAGTGCTGGGAGCAGACTCTGGGGCCTCTGCGAGAGCAGCTGGTATGGTGTTCTCAGCTGTGGAGCAGCCAGTGTGGAGCTGTGTTCTTAGCTGTGGAGCTCTCCCATCTCCCTGCATTTGTTTTCTAATGAAGACTTAAGATTAGTTAATACTTGGAAATTCATGTGCTTTTATACATTTTTTTTTTGTTAACAATTTTGTTAAAGGCCGAGGAGAAACTGGGAATCTTTCTGTTTTAAAAATAACTTACATGGAAGCCAGGCATAGTGGCACTTGCTTTTAATCCCACCATTTGGGAGCAGAGGCAAAAGCTGGCAGATCTCTGTGAATTTGAAGCCAACCTGGTCTACACAGGGAGTCTGCATAACCAGGGCTACACAGGGAGACCCTCTACCACCACCATCAACAACAACAACAACACAAAAGAAAAGAAAAAATAACTTCTCAGACTGGGGCACTGCAGTGACGCTTAGTGGCTAAGAGCATCGTAGCTTTTGCGCACGACCCAGGTTTGGTCCCCAGCACCCACATGGCAGCTCACAAGCATCTGTAACTCCAGGACCAGGGAACCTCACACCTCTTCTGGCCTCTGGGGGCACTGCCTGCAGGTGCTGCACATGCAGGCAAAAAACTCACATACACAAACTAATAAATATATAACTTATTTAAATTTTAAAAATGACTTCTTTATTAATCTTGTTCCCTCTGCTTTAGTATTCCTAGTTTTGTAAATGTAATATTAGTGTTGGGATTTTGTTCTGACTTTAGCTGTTTTTATTAGTTAATTCATATATATGTGTGTGTATACACACACACACACACACACACACACATATAAAATACACAAAAAAATATTGTGCCTGACTGCAGATGGATCAAGGCAAAGGTAACCATTGGACCCCGTGTCATTGTGTGCAAACGTTATTCTCACTTTAAAGTTCTGCCTTTTCTCTACTCTGTAAAGCTTTTAAATTCTTTTTTTTCCTCCTCTGAGACATTATAAATTTTTTTCTTCATTGCAGCTTATGGAAGATAACAGCTTTTTTAATAGGCATGGTTTTGTCTAACATATTTTTACCTGCTTTCTTTCTGTACTGAAGATAGCTCAGATAATTTACCCCACACTGTGCTGTAAACCACTGTCTTCTCTTGGACAGGACCTGTGCTGGAGAATGGTGTCTCTGACTTTGAGCCCAAATCTTTGACTGCACACTCTGTCTCGAATGTCCAGCAATCCCGAAACGCTGCCAAATCTGTCTCCAGAGCCACCACAGGAGCACAGGTTTCAAATCTGGGAATGGAGAATGTTCCACTCTCTTCCACCAATAAAAAGCTAGGTAAGTCCAAGGCCTATTTGGGAGAGAAAAAACTGTTTCTGTCCAGAGAGAACAGATTGACCTTGTATGAGTAGCAGCCAGTGCTGCTGTGGGACGACCTAGCTAACAGTGACTTCCTGAGCTTTGCCGCAGCCGTTCATGCTGGGTTCTTCATGTCTGGTCTCCCAACATGTGAGCACTTCTGTCTGACAGGACATTTCAGAGGAAATGTCAGAGCTGCTCTCTGCAGCTTCCTGCCCTTACTGAAGTCAGAAGGCAGACTGAGGTTTTCACAAGAGCATGTCCCCTGAAATACTTGGTATTGATTGGTGATAGCTCTTTACTTTCAAATATTTGACTATTATAATCATTTTGACAGAGTTGCAGTGCTCAGAGCATGCCTGTAATCCTAGCACTCAGGAGCCTAAGGGAGGAAGACCTTACCTTCCAGGCTAGCTTGGGCTAAGGTGGTTGATGTCATCTCAACAACAGATACTTAGCACCAGCCAGTACTGTGTGCGTGTGTGTGTGCGTCTCTGTGTATTGTTTTGAGATAGGGTCTCACTATGTAGTCTGGCTGGCCTGGAATTCTCTGTGTACACCAGGCTGGCCTCAAAATCACAGAAATCCTCATGCCTCTGCCTCCTGAGAGCTAGGATCAAAGGTGTGGATCCCACACCAAACAACTTTTGTTTTCTTCTATGTTACAGTAATTGTTTAAATAAACAACTAGTTACTAAACAGAGAGACCCCTCAGTCCTTCACATGTCTAAGTGTGGTGGTCCACTCAAGTAAGCCGTGAACTAGAGATGTACAGCGCCATCATAAACTGTAGCTATTGTTTAAATCATTTATTCCATATGACCTGAGTTTTAAAACTTCATTCATTCTTTAGGTGTGTGTGTGTGTGTGTATGTGTATGTGTGTGTGTACATGTCTATGTGCCTGCCTGCCTGCTGTATACTTGTGTGTGGACATCCAAGAAAAGGTCAGTTGTGTTTCTCCACTGTGGCGTCTGGGGAATCAAGCTCAGATTGTCAGGTTTGCCGGCAAGGGCCTTTGCTCTCTGACATTTTAGCTAACACTTCCTTTCAACTTGTTGCTGAACGACCGGTCTGAGAATATCTAGTCAAGCAAAAATAAGGTTTACACAGGGCTCAAAAACTTTTAGGTTCCAAAGGAAGTCAAATCGGATTGAGAGGAATTTATATTAAAAAATTAAATGGCTCCAATGGCATAGGCTTTAGTTCCAGCTCCTCCAGAGGCTGAAGCAGGAAGGTCCCTTAAGCCGGGGAGTTTATGGTTTGTCTGGGCGGTATCCCAATAGTCACTAAAAAACAGCTGAAATTGAAGATGTAGGGGCTGGAGAGATGGCCAGCAGAACGGTTGCTGTGCACGAGGACCTGAGTGTGGAGCCCAGTAGCCACATGCATGTGGCCATGTGTATGAAGAGCCCTGTACCAAGGGGACAGAAGGGCTTCTGGCTCACAGGCCGGCCAGCCTTCCCTGTGGGTATGGCCAAGGTTCCTCTGAGAGGTCTGTCTCAGAAGCAAGGCAGAGCCCTGGAGAGATGACTTCCAGCCAGACTGTTTGGTCCCGGGTACCAGGGTTTGGTTCTAGTTCCCACAGCCATCTGATTGACTCCAGTCGCAGTGGACCCATCCCATCCCTGCTTTTGACTTGAAGACACTGGCACACACGTGGCACATACATGGTGCACACACATATATGCAGGCAAAAAAAACTTACACACGTAAAATAACAAAGTAAATTTTTTTTTTTGCCTGCATGAATGTCTGTGTGAGGGTGCCAGGTCCCCTGGAACTGGAACGACAGTTACGAGGAACAGTTAGTTGTGAGCTGCCATGTGGGTGCTGGGAACTGAACCTGGGTCCTCTGAAGGAGCAGTTAGTACTCTTAACCACTGAACCATCTCTCCAGTCCAAAAAAGTAAATATTTAAAAAAAAAAAAAAAGTAAATGGGGCGACTCCTGAGGGACGGCACCCATGGCTGACCCCTGGCGCAGACCGCAGCATGCACACACGTGCAGACACTACAGAATGGGAACTGTGGGCCGGGTGTGGTAGTGCATACCTATAGCCTCAGCCCTTCAGGATGTGCAGATGGGAGCACATGGCTGAGAGCAGGCTAGGGTGTATGCAGTGAGCTCCTGTGTCAAAAGCGCAAACTGAGCTAGGGTTTAGCTCAGCGTGGGACTTGAGAAACATGTACAGGGCGCTAGGTGTGATTCCCATGCTTGCAGCTAGAAGAAAGAAGGAACTAGAGAAGGAAGATGTTTGTCCTAAGCTGGCTGTGGTAGGAAAGGAAGGAAGGAAAGAAGATGCTACATAGTGAGTTCAAGGCCAGCCAGGAATGTGTGTTTCAAAAATAAATCAAACACAGAGCCAGAAAGAGGGCTCAGCATGTAGAAGTGCTCGCCTGACTGAGTTACCCTTTGACCTCTTAAGCTGTGCCGTGGTGTGCGTGCCCATATTCACACACATGTCATCACGCACACTGATTATTGTTGTCTAATCCCCGCCATTGGGAGGCAGAAGCAGAGGGTCATTTCAAGCTCAGGGCTAGCCTGGTGTATGTTTACATGAGTTCCAAACCCAGCCACGGGTACAAAGTGAGACCTGATCTCAAAAACCAGACTTGAGAGACAGAGAAACAAAGAAAACAAACAAAACGTGTGTCTTTATACAACTATCAGCATCGTGTAGTGGCGATTGGACCCCCATCAGTTGTCTCTGTGACATTGGTGGTGTTAGGTAGAAAGGTCAGTAGGGCTCCCAGAAGCCCTTACAGTACACTGTGGAGGTGAATACACTTCCTCTTTGTCTGTGATGATGACGTCTCCATGTGTAATGTAACCAGAGAGGGGCGTCTTCTAGTTTCTTCATGTCTACATGGCGGGAGAATTACTTGATTAGACTCTGGTCATTTGTGGAGCTTTGAAAATATGGGTCCTGGGGCTGGAGAGATGGCTCAGTGGTTAAGAGCACTGACTGCACTTCCAGAGGTCCCGAGTTCAAATCCCAGCAACCACATGGTGGCTCACAACCATCTGTAATGAGATCTGATGCCCTCTTGTGGTGTGTCTGAAGACAGCTACAGTGTGTTCATATATAATAAATAAATAGATCTTAAAAAAAGAAAAAGAAAATATGGTTCCTATTCAGACAGTTTTCTTTCTTGACTTCTAAAGTTGCTATCTTAAGATTCGCTGCTCTTTTTCCCCTCATACATTACATCCCACCGCGATCTCCCCTCCCTCCTCCCAGTGCCTCCTCCACCGCTCCTCCTCCCCAGTCCACTCCTCCTCAGTCTCTTAAGAGCGGGGCAGGTCTTCAAGGGGTATCAGCTGAACATGGCTATTGCAGTAAGACCAGGCACCTCCCCCTCATATCAAGACTGGACGAGGCAACCTAGGAGGAGGAGGAGAGTCCTCAGAGCAGGCAGGAGTCAGAGATGTCCCCTTCTCATGTATGCAGAGGGCCTACTTGAGGCCCATACTGCTCTTTTTTCTTTAACAGTTTAGTCTGCTATTATTTTCATTTCTGAAAGTTCAGTTGAAGAATTTTGAAATATCTTCTATACCTCTGCTTAACATGTGTCTGAATTTGTCTGATAGTAGCTGTTTGATATCTCCCCAAAATACTTTGTTCGGGTCCTAGGGATTAAGGCCAGAGTATGCTAGGCACATACTCTACCACTGACCCAATAGCCCCACCTTAATTTTTTTTTATTTTATGTATATGAGTGCTTTGCCTGCAAATATGTCTGTATACTATGTATGTGCCCAGTACCCATGGAAGCCAGGGAACAGCATTGGATCCTTTGGAACTGGAGCTATAGACAGTTATAAACTGCAAAGTGGGTGCTGGGACTCAAGCCCAAGTCCTTTGGGAGAGCAGCTAGCGCCTTTAACCCCTGAGCCGCCTCTCCAGCCCAGGCCCCCAGCTTTGGATGCTCTTTCATACTTGATTCTAGCAGGTGTCGTTTCTGCATCTGTTTCCGTTGATTTTTCTCTTAGTCGTGTTTATTTTAAATGTCTTTTGTTTTTATGTGTGATGACTGTTTCTAATGGAATCCAAATATTGTAAATTTTTTTTGTTGATTAACAGAAGGTATTTGAATTCTTTGAATATCCTGTGTCTTGTTTCTGGGACTCTGTTTTGTGAAAACAGTTTGAGGCTTACTTCTTTTTGCTTTTTACCTTGTCAGATTAGATGAGAACAGCCTAGAATGGAGGGCTGATGCTGCTTCACCATTGGGGCAGCATCCTCCCAAGCAGCACTCTGTAGCGCTGGGGCGGCATCCACCCAAGCAGCTGCTGTGTGTATTGTGAGGTGCCTCTTTTTGCACACATGTGTGAACTGTCCCTGGCCTGGGTGAAGCCTGGCTGTCCGCTCCTTGGCTTGCGTGGTGATGTCCTCAGCTCTGCACTGGCTAACGCTCAGCTTCTCGGGCTCTGTCTGCCACTGCTGTCCGACTCTGTGTAGTTTTCTGTGTGCTCGGTCTTGGAACTTCTAGCCTTGGCGCCTGGGAGTTCGCTCTATATTGCAGCGTAGAAACTGTTCATAAGTAAGTTGGGGCAGTCAGAGGCTCTCTTCACTCGTCTGCCTTTCGTGGGAAGTACTGTCTGCTGTCCGTTGCTAAGAGCCATTATTTTATATATTTCATCTGTGTTGTGTATTCATTGTTTAAGATGGGAGGATAAATCCAATTCTTGATACTTCATATTGATTAGGATACTTTAAAAAATAAACATGAAATTTTGAAAAATAGGGTTTTTTTGTTGTTGTTGTTGTTGGAATGGTGATCTTAGTCCATATGACATTTGACCTAAGACATTCAGATCCAACTTTTAATTTACATGTTCCCTTTTAAAATAATCTGTGTTTCCCTCCAAGGTTCTAATATTGAGAAATCGGTGAAAGACCTCCAGCGCTGCACTGTTTCTCTAGCGCGGTACCGAGTTGTCGTGAAAGAGGAGATGGATGCGTCCATTAAGAAAATGAAACAAGCCTTTGCCGAATTGCAAAGCTGGTAAGATTAAGTTGCTCTTCATATGTCGTAGCCCAGAGCCCACTTATAGATATGGTCAGCCGCTCACTAGTGTCTTTAATCCCCTCCTAACTACACAGTGGGGAGAAACTGAAAACCTATGCTGTGTCTGACTTTCTGCTTTGATCTGTTGCTCTTGGCCAGTGTGGGATTTAGGGGCACAGAGAACTCACAGTGCTTTAGAGAGGACTCTAGAAAAGGGCCTGTCTGTCAGAAACCAACATGACAAGTGACACACTGCTACAGCCAAGCTGGATAGGAGAAAGTCAGCTATTGGCTCAGCCAGGAATCATAGCACCGAGAAGGCTGAGGCAGGAGGATCCAGGCCAGCCTGGCTACACGTGATATCTTACTTACAAACAAGCAAGCAAACAAAAAACTAAAACCTGCAAGGAGAGAATGCCTGGTTCTTAGCCTTTCTCCTTCCTCACCTCTCACCCTGCTGATCCGCTGTTGATCAGGATTTGCTTTGGATCTTATGTTTCCACTTGTCCTTCTGTACTTGCTTCTTAAATGTACTAGTCTGTATTCTGTGAGGACAGTAGCAGGTTTGGTAGAAAGATTTGAATATATGTATGTGCACACATGTGCCGTAAGTGCAAGTGTGTGTGCAGGCCAGAGGACAACTTCAGGCGTCAGTGGTCCTCTTCCACCGTGGTGGATCAGGCCTCCTGCTGGCCCTGCCATACGCCAAGCCAGTTGGTCAGGAGCTTCCAGGAATAATCTTATCTCTGCCTCCCATGTTACCATAGGAACACTGAGGTTACAGACAGCTGCTACCACATGCCTGACTTTATGTTGGTTCTGGGGATTCGAATGTGGGTTCTCATATTTGTCTTGTAAGGGCCTGACTCACTGAGTGCCAGGGTCCAGCCTCAACACTGGATCGGGTTTTCAACTAGAAGCAGAGATATCTAGAAAGCGCATAATGAACACACACAGGCAAGTTTTGGATACAAGCGGACAGGCAAGTTTCAAGGCTTAAAATTATACTTTCTCCTTTGCTTGCTCTGTGTGCATACTCTGCACACACCTACACACTTCACACACATCTCACACACCTCACACACACCTACACACTTCACACCTCACTCCTCACACACAC